TTTGAAAAGCCTGAGAGATCTACGTCACGGTGAAACTTAAAGAGCGAGTAACACCTACATGAACTTTTTTTTTTGCTGATAACCTGTATAGAGCTCCGGACGTCACGTGACTCTCAGAGAGTAGACGCCATGTTGGCAGACAACAAATGTAAACAAAATGAACGGGATCGGCTTGGATTTTACTTCGTCTGAGTTTACTTCACACTTTAAAACCGAAGAAATTGTTTTATATAGTCAGAAATTAAATAGACTAAACATCTCCGACCCTTACCGTGCCCCTGGGATACTTTTGAAAAACGCCAGAAGCTGTCGGAGCGGACTTCTTACCGGACCTGGCCGGGGAACCCCTTGGGATTCCCCCGGAGGAGCTGGCCCAAGTGGCTGGGGAGAGGGAAGTCTGGGCCTCTTGAAGCTACTGCCCCCGCGACCCGACTCCGGATAAGCGGATGAAAATGGATGGACAAATAACAGATTTACAGGTAAGTAGTTTAGAGTGCTGTGCTGTTTGAATGTATAAACTGAACACCAAGAGAAATCACTAGTTTGATTTTTTTCCGTGAAAAAAAAACATGTCAGGCAGGAGCGTCTCAGGATCTGTCTGAGATCTGTCTCGGTGAGACAGATAATAGCAATCCAAAGTGCTTTTTATGTGTTATCTGACAATTGATCAACCATTGCTTAAAAATGAAATACAGCTGAGACGGTTAATTGCTGTTATCATAAAACACGTAAACGGCAGCACACAGAAATCACGAGGCAACGTTTTACGTGATGTTTACATGTTGCTATGAGTAATAAGACAGAAAAAGCCACGCCAAAATAAGTTTAGGAAGCCCACTAAGAATTGTAATAAAAGCATTTAAAATAAATATCATACACAGTTAAGGAAACGTTGGTTTAAGTACCTGATATGAAGTGGTCGCTGCATAAGCGAAAACCTTTACTCTCGGGATCCCACAGTTTCATTTTAGCCCGGTCACTAGCTCGTTTTATTACAATGATCCAACATTTGCGGCGCTCCGGATCTTGGGGAATCCTGTAGATTCCTCATTCCTTATGTCGTCCGAGTCTGTTCTGCATCCTAGGGCACAACAGGAATCTACCATGTTTCCTGTTAGAGTTTTCTGACAAATAGTCCAGCTGCGGGCTTCTGCCTGCCAATATGGCGCCATTTCGATTAGAACTGTTGCATGTCGGGAGAAGTGACGTCAACTCCTGGAGCTCTATAGGTGAGTGTCTAATGGTGCTGTACACATTTGTAATCATCAGTGTGGCAGTTTAATGCAACTTACTTTAAATGTAATGTTTCAGCCCAAAACTGTAATTATATCTCTAGGTTAAAACTCTGCCCCACATTTATTAATAGTCAGCTGTGGCTGATGGCTAAGCTGAAAAACGTGATGTCAGCAAAGTACTACGTGGCTGCACTGGTCTCCAGGTGAGGCAGCCGCACCTCCACCTGGCTCAACCACTCACCTGCCGATATGACACATAGACGCTCGGAGCCGCTTACCTTCTTGAAAAAAAATGCCCTCCTCCCCTTGTTCATCTAAAGATCGTGGTTAACAGGAAATCCTCCAGAATGCTGCGGAATCTGTGTCTGCTTTTCTCCTGAGCGGTAAGTCCACTTGGGGGGAGGGGTCTCTATTACTGCCTTAGTGCCGCACTCTCGGTCCGCCAGACAACGCCTCTTTCAGAAGTGATTTTCTAAAAGGAAGTGTGGATGATAAATCTCCACCCATTCCTTGGCTCCGTTAGTGTTAGCAACCGTTAGTGATAGCAATTCCACCACATGGCAGAACTCCTTTAGGTTTGTTAATCGTGGAGAGAAAGCATCAGCATTGCAGAGCAAATAGAGTCATTGGTAGAGTCATGTTGTTGTTATCCAATTCAAAGCGAGATGTCCAAATATCAGAAAATAAGATTCTTAATCCTTCCGTCTGAAGTTCAGCTCGGATCTGGCTCACTCCTAGATCCTGAAAAGGGTGCATCCGGGCTTTTTTTCCCCTGAGTACATTTTACAAGGCATTCATTCCTACTAGGAAACACTATAACTGTATTGATTAAACAACTGTTCCAGACCTTAAACTTTTCATTAAAACCTTGTAAAACATGGTTACCAGTGAGCTGTAGATTCATCAGGTGTTTTGGTCATCACCATGAGACACCCTCAGTCATCATAGAAAGTAGAAGCCAAGACCGATTTGGCCTTGGTGATTGTCTCTTAGCCAGTCGGTCTTTAGGGTAGATTAAGGCATCAAGTACTGTAGATCAGTCAGTTTTCTTGTTCATGTCAGATACTTGATCTGTTAATGTTTCAGTTCAAGCGTTAAAACCCCAAACAAGCTTGTTCAAGGGATGGAAGGATGTGAGAGGATGCAGGATTAGAACGTGTTGATGATCTGCCAAGAGAGACTGTTGAGTGCTTAAATGAAAAAACATAGCTTTACATAATTTTTACATCATTATCACAGCTAATATGTCATATTGCACCATATTATAATACAACTTGTACTATGTCAAAGGAATCAAAGATGCAAAGAAACATTGTGACCTGCAATAAAATGGTGATTGTGATTCTACAGTACTTTCTACCCCTTAGCCAGGGGCGCAGATAGGATTTTCAAACTGGGGGGGCAAAGTTCCAATGTACCCTCCCCCAAACACACACACACACACACACACACACACACACACACACACACACACACACACACACACACACACACACACACACACACACACACACACACACACACACACACACACACACACACACACACACACACACACACACACACACACACCCTATCTGCACGCCTGCCCTTAGTCCAGACTGTTAGTTTTTAACGTTTGTCACAATGATAGCCTTGATGGGTGGCACGTTTCCTTAGGTAGTTCTGGAAAAGTTAGAGAACCAACGATTTAACTGCTGCAGTGAAAATGACCTCCAAGGACTGGGCATGGGCATCATTTATCTCTTAAACACTTCTTAAAGAACTCTGGTAGTGTTTATAACAAGAACAAAAGCAATAAACATATTGTTTATTCCAAACTTGATAAACAATGTGTGTGTTTAATGTATTTCAGAAATTGTGTGATATTTTCTTGATCCTGCAATCTATCTCTGACCAGCAGATGGCAGCGTTACAACAGCAACTTTCATAAGGGAGCTATCCTTGGTGCTGAATAGTATCCATCTGTCTGCCTGTCTGCCTATCGGTCTGTCTGTGTCTGCATTAGTTTATAGGATCACACATCAATATAATCTGCATTGAAAACAACCATTTTTGATTTTCTAAAGCCTCCCAACACGAGACAATTTCTGTCTAAATATATATAAAATGACAAACTATCCCAATGCACAGAGAGCTACCAGCTTGACGGATGACTCACAGTAATGCTGTGAAATGGCTCAACACACACACACACACACACACACACACACACACACACACACACACACACACACACACACACACACACACACACACACACACACACACACACACACACTCTCTCTCTCTCTCTCTCTCTCTCTCTCTCTCTCTCTCTCTCTCTCTCTCTCTCTCTCTCTCTCCCTCTGTCGCTCACTAAAACACACACGTTCTACCATTTAACAGCTGCCGAGCATGCACGTAGAAACCCCACGTGGCAAGCACACACTCCAGAGTGCAAAGGCACGGTACCAAAGTTAAGATGGTTAACTATCAGAACAAAACATGTACTTACGCAGATTAACAAGATGAGAGATTAGTGACAAATCTATTGTGAAAATTGTTTTATCAAAAAGGGAAAAGGCAGGCTGTTGGAGCTGACAAATCCTGCACCATGTGGTCAAAGCACCCAAGGGGTTTGTTTGGAGGTCTGACACAAAATGAGGATTTGCTCAAATAATGTTATTACTTCTTTTTTCATGCTCTAGCTATGGAAATTTGGGCACTTGAGCTGCAGATGAGTTCAGCATAGGATCATTTATGAAAATGTTGCCAGACAGAATAAACATTATCCATGACATATTTATAAATTTAAAAACTGGAAAAGGGGAATTTAGAAAAAAAACTGAATTATTGAAGCTCAAATGGCTGTAGGAGTGATGTCACAGTAGCAACAGGTGGTAATGCCTCACTCGTCTCTTGGAAAACTTCTAGTGGGACATGTGGGTGATGTGGTTCTGTGTTGAAGCTGATGGAGTTCTGGGAGCTACGTGTGAGATGCACGTCTGAATGGTGCTGCTGTTGGTCCTCTGAGTGGCTCAGCAGGATAATTCTTCATGATGTGTTTGCAGCGCTGTAATCTTGTTAGCGTGATCCTTTGCACATGCCACGAGGGACTTGGGATCAATAACTGGCTCCTAGCTTTATTTGGGGTGCAAACACACACTCATCATCAGGTGATTTTTACAGGATCTGGAACAGAGTCACTAGAAATAAATGTGTTATGTTTTCAGGCATCGTGTGACCTTTTAAGATGATGCTCTTGAAATGTTTATTTACCGTTTGTAATGCACCAGCAGAATATTTTTTCTTTCCTGTTTTTCCTTAAATTTCATGCCCCATTTCCTAATTGATCCCACTTTTGATCTTTTGAGTTAGCTTTTCTTCTGTTTTTTGTCCTAATTTACCTTTCCTTCTATAGCTTTTTTCTTTCTAATCTCCAACGTTTATTTATCTTCCTTCCTCTTCCTGTCTTTTCTCCTGTTCTGACTTTTAAATTTCCCACCACCCTCATTCTATATCCGTTTTTTCCCAATAAGTCTTCCTTAATTGTTTCCTTCCTTAACCTTTTTCAAAAATGTCTTTTTCTTTGGTTTTCCATTTTCTCCTTTTCTCCCTCCTTCAGTTTTGCCTGAACCAGTTTGTCCTCTCATCCCCCCTTCTCCCTTCATTCCCATTTTCACCCCCTAATTCCTCACCTCAGTTCCTCTGACTCACCTGCCTCTCCTCTTTTTGTCCACACTTCCCTTCCTTTTTGTCTTCTTCACCTACTTCACGTCTCAGACTAACCTCTGCCTCTCTTTGCGACTCCCTCTCCTCTCCCTACCGTGCTCACCCCCTCACCTCACCTCCCTTCCTCCCTCGCTCCCTCCCTCTCCGGTCTCAGTCTCTGCTCGCGCGCCGTGCTGTGCGGACCTACCGACCATCTCTCTTCGCTGCTCCTCTAATTCTCTCCCTCTCCGTTCCTGTCCTCCGCTCCTCTCTGCTATGACAGCTCACACCAGCGGCGTGTTGTCCGACCTCAGACCGCCGAACGGCCACCGGTCGTCCTGTCCAGACACGAACATGGACGTGCGCGTGAGGGACATTCGTGATTGATCTCCAGTTGCAGTTTATTTTTAATTTTTCTTTTTTCTTTTTCTTTTCTTGTTGGTATAAAAACGCAAGAAAAAAGAGGAGGGGGGCTGCCTTCCTCTTTGAACCCCCCCTCCGCTTCTTTAAGCCAAGCAGAGCGGCAAGGTGGGGAGAGGACTTTTAGATTCAGCCAGCTTGGATTTACTAAATAGCGAAATGACGGATTTGGGAGCGCCGGGGCTGCTGCTGGTGCCGAGGAGGAGGCTGAACGCGAAGAAAACGGGAGGGCTGAGACGCGACCTCCCGCTTCTCCTCCTGCTGGGAATTCTCGTGGGGAATTTCTTCCCGTCCAAAGGTGAGTTTTGGAGGCTGTCAGCCTGTCTGCGCGAGGAAGGCGAGCGCGTGTCTGAGAGGGTATCACTGTGTTGCGGTTGGGCGGCTTGCGTGTGCGCGTGCGCGATGGGAACCGAAGCTTAAATGCGTGGCGTTGCTTCAGACTGCGTTGGTATGTGTGTTGCTCTTGCGGTGGCTGTGATGCACGCACTGTTGTGTATTTCTGAAGGGACAGCCAAGTTGGACACATCTTCCATCTGCAGCCTGGGGATGCTCTTCTGTTGTAGTCCAGGCCCTGTATGAACTGACATGTTCACGAAAAGCTAATGAAACAACCCACTTAAGTCCCATTTCACACCTCAGATAGTTAAAACCCATCTTTGGGAAGGATGAGGCACATCACGTGTTAATGTCTACAAATGGGAGGAGGAGTGCTCATGTGGAGAGGATATCCCAGATTCATGGAGTTGATGGATACTTTGTGGAGTCACACTCAGAGAGAAGAGACTCCTATTGTGTGCCAGCAGTCCTACAGGTCTGTGCTAGGAGGGTTGGAAGGTGATCAGATGCTGGTAGATGAAGAAGCAGGAAGTGTTAAAATCCTCCTGGTCTGGTGGGACAACCAACTGCTCATCAATAGCTTCTTTGTCTGCACTTGTCCTTTGCTTCCTCTGCAAATTCTGCCCCTTCAGATAAACAAAACTGTGTTTGATGTGTTTTAACTGTGACAAAATTATTTGCATGTATTTTCTGTCTGTGTTTAATTTTGTTCTAGTTTAGATGCATTTGTTGTGTGTGTGTGTGTGTGTGTGTGTGTCTAGCAATGGCATCTTTATCTGCATTCCCTGCCACGCATGCAGCTTGTCAGGCTGGAAATAAAGGGATTTGTGTGAAAGTGTGATTAACGGGGGAATTGTATGTGTTGATGAATATGATAGAGGGGCTTTTAAGCTGTTTGTGATTGAAGCAACTGCTTCTTATCACCTATGATTTAACTTTCAATCCAATCTCAGTGTGTGTGTGTGTGTGTGTGTGTGTGTGTGTGTGTGTGTGTGTGTGTGAATGTTTTTCTTTCTATCTTTCTATCGGCCTTAAAATCGCAGGTGTTCACAACTTTTACCGAGATAACCGTTAACTGTTCAAATGCACACACTTTATATTGGATTATCCATCTTAAACATGACTTTCTTTGCTAAAAATAGCACTATAATAGTCACAAATAAAGTGTTTGAGTTACCGAAGAGGTAATTACACATCGTAAGACAAGCTATGAGAAAATTAAAGGGCATGCAGACATCTGGAGAGACAGAAGGGAGGGTGGCAATAAATCATTTAGTCAATCCTCAAACCCCAAATGGTTGCCAGCCCTTTAGATATGACATCACTCTGTAAATGACATTAAATTTCAACGTGCAAGTGTCAAAAGATGTCACAAAGGCTTTTTTCCCCATGAAGTAACTTTCACCTTGCTCTCATGCCTTTTTGTGGCAGTGAAATGGGGAGGCGTTTTAAGGGTTGTATTTCCAAAAATCTAAATTTGCACTGATGTTGATCTCCTTTAGTGTCAAATGTTCACATTTATTTATAAAAACACAGACTGAGAGCAGATAAACTCTATCAGTCAACATTCAACAGGTTGAGAAGAAAAATATCCAACTGTGATGATGATTCCCTCTTAACCCAGCAAACTCTTATATAATTGATATATTGTTATACTCTACAGGGGATTGTACAAAGGACATTTCTGGAACACACACACACACACACACACACACACACACACACACACACACACACACACACACACACACACACACACACACACACACACACACACACACACACACACACACACACCTTTCAGAATAACATGCCTGAGATTTTAGTCTCCCACTGGGACTATGAAGCACGTGTTTAATCACTTGTACACACGCTTATACAAACACACTCTGACACACAGATCACCCTGCTGACTTATTTACATTCACCTTTCAAAGTGAAGACTGAATAAAAGTCTGTTTTTCAAAGGTTTTTAAAATTTACAGGAACATTTAGACCTGAACACACACACACACACACACACACACACACACACACACACACACACACACACACACACACACACACACACACACACACACACACTAAAGTATATGTACAAGGTGACAATTAGTTGACATTGAATCAATGCCAAACAACAAGATATTGCAACTAGCTGTCAGTCCTCCTGCTTGGCATACTAATTACACACACACACACACACACACACACACACACACACACACACACACACACACACACACACACACACACACACACACACACACACACACACACACACACACACACACACACACACACACACACACACACACACGTTTAGAAGGCACTTAATTAAAAAGTGCTATCTGCCCAATCAAAACTCAGAGGCACACAAGTCAGTGAATCATTTGGAGAGAATACAGCGATGTGTGAAAGTAGATCAAAACAGGAAGGACATGTTTGTATAATCTGTGTGCTGCAGTGTCGGACTAAAGCAACAACAAATGAAAAAAAACATAAAAAAATGTAGGATATAATTAGTGAAAGTTTGGATAAAATGAATTGTATTATAGCAAAAACAATAACAAGATCAAAAAGATATTTACCTGCGTGTGGCTCTGTAGTATTCTGTAATTTCTATATTTAATTTTATTGCCATTTGTCCTGCTTGACGAGCCAGGCTTGGCAGCTCTTCTCTGCTTTTACAGCAGCACTGTGTATTACTGTGGCTGACTAATTAGCTATAAAATGAGAGTGAAATGGTCTACTTGCATCTGAATAATACAAAAGACTGTGAAATATGTATTGTCCTAAATCTGCTTGTGCATATTGATTGTAGTTATGATTTTATCCTGAGTGAGTAATTTTAGTCACAGATAAGGCCGGGTTCAGGATAATTATGCTGAAATCTGACCCCATCCTCCCCTACTGACAATCCTTAGGATGCGCCTCGATTACCATGATGGCTCTAAAATCTCAGGTGTGTGGTGTGATAGCACATTGGGAGCGCTTTCTTTTTAAATTGGAGCTTTCAAACAAGTTGGATTGACTTTTTGAGAGGACAAATAAAGGTTTTGCCAGATGAATGTGGCAGGTATCCAGTCAGGAAGCGAGGTGACAGGAGTATGCCGTACGCTCCATTTCCGCCATGTTTGTCAGTAAGATTTCCCATCTGACCTCAGAATGTTCTGAATCTGCGAAACCGTGTGTAGTTTTTATTGTGTCATGACACACAACACACTGTAGGAACAAAAATGGCATATTTGTGACTAAATCTACATCTTTATATAGACTTTATCTATATATCTATATATCTATATCTATCTATCTATCTATCTATATATATATATATATATATATATATATATATATATATATATAGATATAGGTATAGATATAGATATAGTGGTATATATGACTGAGTTTCTGATTTCAACAGTTTGAGTTATGTTATCATACAAGATGCACTCATCAAAGGGGGGATGAGAGGACAAACAGAACATTTCTCCACTTTACAATTTTTTAAATTTTCTGCCCTTTTCAAGTCCGTCCACATTTCAGTGTGGATTCAGTATGGCTTTGACTCAGCCATTCCATTAACCCTCTATTTCTTCTTTCTAAACCATTCCTTGGTGAATTAGCCTGTGTGCGGTGGATTATTATCCCGCTGAAAGGTCTACTTCCTCTTCAACTCTAACTATTTTCAGGCAGCCTTTGATGTGATGAAGGATGTTTGGTCGAATCAACAAAAGCAAGCTTAGGCTGTTAAAAAAGAAATAAAAAGAAAATATTTGTGACATTTACACCATCACACTGAGCAGTAAAATATTCTATTTCTGAAAACTATTTTTTTCAGATTTTAACTCTTAACTGGAGCTATGGGATTATGATTGAATATCATATGTATATTCTCGTTATGTAGTATTTGTTCCATTTTCATGGCTACAATTACACATTTCCACTTTAACATCAACAAAAATTAACAGAGAGCCCACAAATTAAATTCTAAATATCTGCTGGAGACATAATCTCTCTCTTTATTAAAGCATTCTAGCTTTTCAACACACTTTTTTCATTGTAATTAAAAGAAACGGACTATTAAGGTATTTATTTTAACATTAGACAATAAATTATAAAGCCTATTTTTATTTCATACTTTAAAGGGTTTAGATTTCCATTCTGTCATCACTATGCTCACAGCACTTTCCTTTTGGGGGAGTAGGTCCATCTGATAGTAAAATAGGCAAGGCAGCTTTATTTGTATCGCACATTTCATACATAGAAGCAATTCAACGTGCTTTCCTGGAGCAAGAACATAAAACATAAAATTCAATGTAACACCGTAAAACAGCAGATTCTATAATCATATTTAAAATACACAGGTACAATTTGATGTAATAATAAGATCAAAAGACTGTTACAGTGCAGAAGGTGCAGCATAAGAAACATCAGTTCAAAGGCTGATTAATACTTTGATGTAAAAGTTACTAAAATTGGGGCACATCTGGGGTCATCATGAAGCTGATTCTATCTGTGTTTATGTTTATGTATTTAGCAGACACTTTTCCAAAGCGACTTACAAGTGATAATCGGCATATTGCCCTTGAGGCTAACAACAACAATAACAACAACTTGACATCAATCATGGAGAGGAGGGAACAAAGGAGTGGACGATAGAGAGGGGGGATGGGTGCAGGGAAGGTGCTAGTTAAGAAGATGCTCTCTGAAGAGCAGGGTCTTCAGGAGTTTCTTGAAAATTGAAAAGGAAGCCGCTGTTCTGGTAGTGCTTGGAAGGTCATTCCACATTTGTGGAACGATGCATGAGAAGAGTCTGGATTGTCCTGAGCGTGGTGTAGGCACTGCTAGCCGATGATCCTGTGATGACCGGAGCGGCCGGGCTGAGACGTAAGCCTTTGCAAGAGGATTCAGGTAGATGGGAGCCGTACCATCTCGGACTTTGTATGCTAGTGTTAGCAATTT